CTCCGTCATTGTTGAGGGTGCCGAGCTTCTGCTTGATCGTGTCTGGGTTGATGCCGCTGCCAAAGAGAGTTGCCGCCTCGCGCATGGCCTCCGCGAGCTCCGCCTCAAGCTTCGCGATCTCCGCCTGCGAACCGCGCGCCCGCCCCAAAGCCTTCAGAGTATGCTCTTGGTTGCGATGAAACTGCCCTTTAGCGTTTGCAAGCTGCCGTGCCAAGTTGCCCACTCGCTGCGGGGCTGAGTTGCCCACCAGGCCGAGAGCAGCAGCACGACGAGTTGCCTCAACCTTGCTGCGGCTAGACTGGCTATGCGTGGGCTCGGTGGCCTCCCAGGCCCCGTGCTCGAGCGTGGCCCAGACCTTGACCTGCTCCGCGGAAAAGGTTACTGCCCGAGCCCTTCTTGACAGCCTTCGAGTCCCATCCGTTAAACAATTCGTTGCCAAAAAGGTCTTACCATTCTGCCCCCATTGTTGGCGAGGCGGTGCGATGGCCCACTTGCCTCGCACTGGAGGCTGACGGTCCTGCCAAAGAACTGCCCCACCGCGAGGGGCGCGAAGCCGAACTTCACCGCATCCTGTCCTACCGCACTGCATACGGCCTGCAGAAAGGAACTCTCCACATGAACACTGCCAGTGGCTCGCCATGGCCGAGGCGAACTCACTGCAAACGCCGCCAAAACCGAGAGAACCGAGCCTGCCCGCGCGCGTCGCGCCAACGGCGGGTGCGTCTGCGGACCAGCGGCCTCCGCTTGGAGACCGCGGGCCAAAATCAAATTGAGCCAAAATGGCTACGGAGAAATTCGCGCCCCAGGGGAAGCTCGATCTATAAGAACAAACGTGCAGAACGAATTGCGGAGTGGAGCCGCAAAAGAAGGCAAATTATAGGAACACGCGGAAACCACCAACGATTCGTGCCACAGGGGGGCCCAAACTATAAGAACACACGTAAAACATGTGAGATTGTATACACAGGCGAAGGACAATACATACATATATAAATATATATATATATATATATATATATATATATATATATTACATATATATATGTACATATACATATATATATATGTATATATATACACATACATACGTATACCATCAGGGATTCTTTGCTCCAGGTGGGGCCCAATCTATAGGAGCATACGTAAAACACATGGGAATGGAACCATCCCTGTTGCCTTCTGAAGCCTCGTGCTCCTGGGGCCCCTCGGGGCCTCCTGTTGCCTGGGCCTCTTGGCGTTTCCTCTGGCATCCTGGAACCTCGTGTGGTTTCCTGAGGCCTCCTGGGGCTTCCCGGGGCATCCTGGAACCTCTTGGGACATCCTGTGGTCTGGTGAATATTCCCGTGGCCTCCTGGTGCCTCCTGGGGCCTCATGTGGCTTCATGGGGCCTCCTGAAACCTGCTGGGGCCTCTGGTGGCATCTTGGGGAAAATATGTACCCCCGAGTTCGGCTCGAGAAATCCTCAGAATCTGGCCCCCCCTGGGGGGCGAAAGTGGGCGCCTCGTTCGAGACATCCTCCAAATCTGCTCCGGAAGCGGAGGGTGCCGGGGACCAAAACAGGCAAACCGCTTTGAGACATCCCCGCCATATGGGCGCGAACGGAGGCCGCGCAATACCCTTGGCGCCCCCCCCCCCCTTAGGAGCGCTACAACCAGCAAGCCGCTCGAAACATCCTCATCATCTGCTCATCCTCATCACCATCCTCATCATCCCCATCATCATCGTCATCATCATCATCGTACTTGTCCATCATTCACCATCGCCATCATAGTCACATCACACTTTCACTACACACGCTCGGCTGTACATTCAACGCATGTACACATTCATTCACATGCATATGTTAGCGCATCTGCAGCCGAGGCTAATAATTCCACTGGCACCGCGTCCGAAGCACCAGGGGGAGCACGAACGACAAGAGTTTCAAACGGCGCCACGCGATAATCTCCTCAACTTTAACCGCCCGCGCTTCGCATCGGGCCCAGCTGGCAAACCAAATAGAAGCCGTAGGCACATGGCTTGCAAAAAAAGCAATTGCTACACATCGCATCCTCGCGGCTTGCGCCTCGGATTTGGCCGTCCGCACTTGGCATAGGGCTTAGCTGGCAACGTAGCAAGAAACCGTTTGCACTTGGCATCGAGGCGAAGGTCACAGCGCGAATCACTACGCCTGTGACATCATATCTGCCATCTGTGCCATGTCGGAATCTTGGTCGCCCCCCCCGCCATGTCCCGCGCACGCCTCATCTCCTTCCTCCGTGCGTCCCAGAGGGTACGTGCGGGAGCACGACCCAAGGGAGCAGCACGCATCCTCCTCCTAATCTTCTCTCTCTGTCCCCCGTGCGTCCCAGAAAATACGCGCCGTAGCACGAACCGTGATGTCTATAGGCAGCTAGGGTCAAGACAGCAGGAGGCCGCAGGAGCAGGTGCAAGAGGAGGGCCGATCCGTGAACCGTATCTGCGCGGTCTCTGTCTTCGCGTCCCGTCACCGCTGGTCCACTCACGCAAGTGATGGATGAGGACAGCATTCAACCCTGAAAGCCCTGCCAATACTCGTAGGTTCTTCCATCTCGCACGGCCTCCCACTGGCGCAGAGGAGGATTCTGCGTCATCAGCCCTTCCCTCACTCACTCACGGGATGGGGCACAATGGCAGGCCACGCCCCCAAACACAGAGATAATGGATGAGGATAGCCTTCAACCAAAAACGCCATTTCCTTATGTGGACCACCAGATCTGCCATGCATACCGATCCCTCCAGCCTGCACGACTCTCCAATGTCGCATAAAGGCACTCTGCGTTATCAGCCAGTGCTCCACACACACACACACAGGATGAAGAACAAGGACAGTATTCAGCCCTACCCAGAAAGATGATGGATGATGACGGCCTTCAACCTAGAACGCCCTTTCATTATGTGGAGCACCAGGTCTGCCACGCATACCGATCCGTCCAGCCTGCTCGATTCTTCACTGTCGCACAAGCGCACAAGAGCACTCTGCGTCATCAGTCGTTGCTCCACTCACAAACAGGATGACGAACAATGGCGGTCTTCGACCCTACTCAGAAATATGATGGATGGGGATGGCCTTCAACCGAGAGCGCTCTCCTGCGGATCACCAGATCCGCCCTGGATGACGATCCCCCAGCCTGCACGAGCCTGCACAACCGCAGAAGAACATTCTGCGTCATCAGCCATTTCTCCACTCGCCCACCCGGGTGTAACAAAGACGGCCTTCAACCAAGAACGCCCTGCAGTCCTGTGGATCAGTGGATCTGCCCACTGAGGCGACCCCCCCCGAGGCCGACTCGGTCCCCGGAGGCCCGAGCGAGGACGCGACAGAGGTGCACGGAGAAAGCGCACAGGAGAGGGAACAAAGGAGCGAGAGAGCGAAAGAAACCAGCGCCTTTAAGGGTGCTGAAACCAGCGCCCCGCCTGAGACATGCTCCAAATCTGCTCTGAAAGCAAAGGATGTTGAGCCACACAACAAGCGAACCGCCTGAGACATCCCCAAAACCTCGCCGCGAACAGGCCCGTGCCATACACCCTGGCGGCTCCCCTTCGGGGTGCTGAAACCAGCGCCCCGCCTGAGACATCCTCACAATCTGCTTCGATAGCAAAAAATAATCACAAAACAGACAAACCGCTTGAAACATCCCCACAAACCGGCCGCGAACGGGCCCGTGAAAACACCCCAAGCGATTCCTCGTATGGGTGCTGAAACCAGCGCTCCGCCTGAGACATCTTCGCAAACTGCTATAAACGCGGACGATGCTGAGCACGGAAACAGGCAAACCACCTGAGACATCCCCAAAAACTGGCCGCGAACGGGCCAGTGAAAACAGAGGAATACCCCCTGGCGGCCCCCCTTAAGGGTGCTGAAACCAGCGCCCCGCCTGAGACATCCTCACAATCTGATCTAAACGCAGACGATGTTGGCCACCGACACAGGCAAACCGCCTGAGACATCCCCACAAACTGGCCGCGAACGGGCCCGTGCAATACCACCTGGCGGCTCCCCTTGAAGGTACTGAAACCAGCGCCCCGCCTGAGACATCCTCACAACCTGCTCTAAACGCAGACGATGTTGGCCACCGAAACAAGCAATCCGCCTGAGACATCCCCACAAACTGGCCGCGATCGAATCCGTGCAAGACCCCCTGGCGGCCCCCTTCAAGGGTGCTGAAGCAAGCGCCCCGCCTGAGACATCCTCGCAACCTGATCTATACGCAGACGATGTTGGCCACCGAAACAGGCAAACCACCCGAGACAACCCCACGAACTGGCCGCGATCGAATCCGTGCAAGACCCCCTGGCGGCTCCCCTTAGGGGTGCTGAAACCCACGCCCCGCCTAAGACATCCTCACAAACTGCTCTAAACGCAGACGATGTTGGCCACCGAAACAAGCAATCCGCCTGAGACATCCCCACAAACTGGCCGCGAACGGCCCCATGCAATAGCCCCTGGCGGCGCCCATTAGGAGTGCTGGAACCAGCGCCCCACCTGAGACATCCTCCGAATCTTCTGAGTATGAATGGATGACTCCGACAGAGTCTTGGCATGAGTGAATCCGAGAGAGTATGAGTATGAGTGAGTCTGAATGTGGACAACTCTGAATATCATGAGTGCGAAGGAATCTGAGTGTGGACGAGTCTGAGTAGAAGGAGACGAGAATGGGAGAAGGCCTGACTGAGGAGTCGGCGGCGTCAGAGTAACAACAAGAACCCCGTCTTAGGATATAGGGAATAACCCCATCCTTAGGATTCGGGGCCCATTGGGGAAAAACACGCTCTCCAACCACGACCCCCGAACACAGCACCAAGACGCCGAGCATCTCCGCCTGCCAGCGCACCCCTCGCCCCGCCCCCCCCCCCCCCCCGAGGACGCGGAGGGGAGGGGCGGGGAGGCGGGGGGAACTCGGGGGGAGGGGGGGGAGGGAGGCACCCCCCTCCCCCCTCCCCCTCGTCGTCGTCGGCGACGTCCCCCGCTCGCGCTGCGCCTGTCGCCCTCCAGGATCCACATGCCCGGGTCCTTTGGTGCGCGCCGGCCCCCGCCCGGCATTGGGAGGCGCCGGCTGGGCGCGAGGAGGCAGGAGGGCGGGAGGGCGGGGAAGGGGGGCGGGAGGGGGGCCCCCCGCGGGGGGGCCCCACCCCGTCGCGGCACAACCACGACGGGGGATTGTTGGAGGCATCCGATCTCCAGGAGCTACGGCCGTCAAGCAGCACTTCTCGGGAGGAAACGCTGGCCAGAGAGCCGACGCCTTGAATGTTTGAGTGCGGGGCCCCGAGAAGTCCAGACCCCTCCCCCAGGGCCGGCTTTTCGTCCTGAGTCGTCTTCTGGCGGTCCCTGGGCCCAGCGAGGGTCGCCGAGGCTGAAAACGACGAAACACATCCGCCGTGCTTGTTCAAGCAGTTGCATGCGTGGGGAGAGAGAGAGAGAGAGAGAGAGACAGAGAGAGAAAAAGAAAAAAGAAGAGAGAGCGTGTATATATATATATATGTATATATATATATATATATATGTATACATATTATAGACATACGTACATGGAGGGAGAGACAAAGAGGGAACCTCAGAGATGCGATAGCCGCCACCGTGCCAGTTGTGCCAACTGGCGCGCAGCGGAGTGGTGTAAGGCACAAGGCCGTCGCGGGCTGCCTAGGGGCCTCGCACCGCCGGCGCCCCGAGGCACATCGTCGATCTTCGAGCCTCGAAAGTCGAGGAGCTTCGAGCCTCGAAGGCCGGGGAGCGGCGGTGCTCCTGGCAGTTATTTGAAATACCCCCCCCCCAATCCTGACCGCGCTCGGATGCCTGCATCGCCCCCCCCTGGCTCGTCTCTGGCGCCGTCGACGGCTCCGGGAACAGCAACACGAACAAATGTATCCCAAGAGCTCGCCCCTCCTCCCTCCCGCATCCTCCCCCTCCCCCTCCTCCTCAGACACGTGAAGTGGCCACCAACAGGCACCGCCCGGCCCCGGGAGGCCCGAAGGCCCCCCGAAAGCCTTGCGAGATGCAAGCGTCTTCAGCGTCACGCCTCTCTTCGCCCTCGCCATCAGGACCAGAAAGCACTAAGAGACCCCCCGAACGGCTCCCAAAAGATCAAGGGTCCCACGGGACGACATCGAGACGGCTCGAGACCGCCCCGAGACGCCTACGAGAAGGCTCAAGAACGGCCCACACTGCAGCCCCCGGACGCCCGAAGGACGGCCCCACCCATTCCCCCAAACTGTCTCAGGACTCCCCCCAGACAGCCTCTTGGCACGAAGACCCTCAGCAGGCTCCCAGAAGTCCAAAGGAAACCCTGGAGAGCCCGACATCATTAGGAACCAAAACCTCCAGATCGCACGTGGGACGGCCGCCTGGCCCACGGGCACCTCAGCTGCCACAGTGTGACACGTTACGGAATCACCTCTGCTGGTCACGGTCCCTGAGGTTTGAGGGAGAGATGCGTTACGCACTGCGGCTGAGAAAAACAGTTATCACGTATCACGGCCCTGGTGGGCATTGCCAAGAAGATGGCCGTCACACGTTCGCGTTACGTCCGTCTGGGGTAGTTATAGGAAGGTCCCAGCTTCGAAGCCCTGGCGTATGTCCACCGCCTGGGGAGCCGATGTCCCAGGAACCCAGGAGGCAAGCTGACCGAATGTTCTCGGGCCCCAGGGAAATCGAAAAACAGCAGCCTCTGCTGCCTCCTGGGGTCCTCGGAGGTCACTTCACCAAGCGGTAGACACGTCAATTCGATTCCTCGGAACAACGTACAATAGGTTCGCGAGGCGTCGGCGCGCGCAAAGGTTCTTGACACCGCGTCGATCGTTCAACCTTGAATTGGTCGCGGCCTCGATCGTTCAAGGTTCAATCCAATCTTGTCCAGTTGCACTACCGTGCCCATCGGTGCTTCCGCGTCGCAGAATCTAACCTTGAACGCCTTCGCCGGCGTCGCTGGCACGCCAACGCCGCACGAACCTACCGCAATGTTGTTATGACACGGGGCCCCACCTCTTTGCTAAGAGGAGAGGAGAGGAGAGGAGAGGATAGAAGAGAAGAGAAGTGAAGAGAAGAGAAGAGAAGGGAAGAGAAGAGACAAGAAGAGAAGATCAGAGAAGAGGAGGAGGAGGAGGACGAGGAGGACGAGGAGGAGGAGGACGAGGAGAAGGAGGAGGAGGGCCGAGGAAGTGGGATGGAACGCCCGCCTCATGAGCGGGGGTCAGAGGCGAGGCCCTCGGGGGACGGGGCGCGGGCCCGAGTGCCCTCGCGACGACGGGCATACATGAAGGGGAACTGGGACACACCAATAAATACACAGAAATAAAACTATTCCCCATCTGTTCCCATAGTTTCTGGGTTTGTGTCTTCCCCCCCACGTCCCATATTTCCCCATCTTTTCTGGGAATCGCCGATGAATTGTGTCTGTGTGTTTGTTCCCCCCTCCTGAATACCGTCGGACCTGGGCCAGAGAAGCCTCCTTCAAGAACATGAGAGGCTCTCCGCCAGCCAGAGCACCCCAAACCCTACAATGAAGGGGAACTGGGACACACAAATAAATACACACAAATAAAGATATCCCACACATTGTCCCATAGTTTCTGGGTTGTTGTCTTCCCCCCCACTTCCCAAATTTTTTCCCATATTTTCTGGGAATCGCCGATGAATTGTGTCTGTGTGTTCTTTCTCCCCTCCTGAATACAGTCGGACCTGGGCCAGAGAAGCCTCCTTCAAGAACATGAGAGGCTCTCCGCCAGCCAGAGCACCCCAGACCCTACAACGAAGGGGAACTGGAACACACAAATAAATACACACAAATAAAGATATCCCACAGATTTTCCCATATTTTCTGGGTGTTTGTCTTCCCCCCCACTTCCCATAGTTTCCCATATTTTCTGGGAATCGCCGATTAATTGTGTCTGTGTGTTTTTTCCCCTCCTGATACAGGCCTCGTCAAAAAATAGCAGACGACTTCTGAATTCGGTGAGTGTGGGGTCAGCGCCGCTCCAGTGCTGACGGATTCCTGTTGACTCGGACGCGGCGTTGTCCAAAAAACCGGCCCCACCCTCTGAGCACTGAAGAACGCGCTTTCTGACAAGTGCCCGAAAGCATCGTGCTCCAGGATTTCAACTTCCATTTCTGGATACTTGTGACGAGGCTTGTAGGATCATTCGAGGGTACAGGCTGCACCAGAACATCCAACACACACGAATAACATTAGGATACCCTTCCTGAACCGACCTCGGTCTTACACCTCTTTCCGACTGTATCCGTCCTCACTCCGTCGTAAGCTCCCTTCCTCCCTCCTCGCCGCTCCACACAACTCAAGAAATCGACACGCACAGCCGCTCCTCGTTGATGCACACCTTGCGGTTCAGGAGGTCTGTGTTGCCACCTGGTAGCCAGGAGCGGAACGCCCATTCGTCTGGACACGCCTTCAAAGCCGCCCGCATATGTATAAGACGAAGCCAGGACGAGGATAAAACCGGGTGAGGATAAATTGAGAATCTTTGAGATCGGGCGGCTCTGGAACATATCTCGGGCGCCGCAGCTCTCTCAGAACGTTCCCGAACGCTCTCAGAGCGATCGGGAACGCTCTGGAACGGTTGATCCTCGTCCTAGCCCCGTCCGAAGGTGGCTCAAGTTGTAAACGGGTGCCCACAGCTTCTCTGCAGTGAAATCGGACCAGCCACTGGACGAAGAACTCAAGGATGCCACTCGCGCGGGAGACTCCCGCGAAGCGGAGCGATCGGATACGAACAACAAACTTACCACCACGGACTCATCATGGCACCCACTAGGCACGCACAACAGGATATGTAAACTCTCATAGTCCTTCTTCTGATGCCGGACGCCATCTGTGCGGCCACCGAGCAGGCCAACCAGCGCTCCGCCTCCAGAAAATACATGAGGAAAGCTGAGGAGGACGAGCCCTGTCTGCGTTGATGGAGGCCCGAATGCGGGGGCTGCATCTGCCCGCCTCCCAGGCAATGAAACGCTTCTCAAGGCAGCAAGCAAGCAAGGAAGCCAGGCGCCCAAACGGCGAATAGGCAGCGGAGAAAATCAATCCCTGGCGCTGCTTGACGCCGCTGGAGGTTGGTGCAAGCGAGCAGATGTATAAGTGATGCCTTGACAGCGCTCGAACCAATGGTACCATCAACGATTTCAAGATAGCAACTCTGTTGGATCGATGGATCCATAATCGAGCACTCGGTATTCCACACCTGCGGTTTGCCAAAAGAAGGGCCGTGAACACCGACACATGCTGTAAAGCCCGCTGACTGGAGTGGTGGGGGAGACGGAGGGGAAGAGGCAAAAAGGAAAGGAGAAGGGGGAGGGGTAAGCAACATGTCGCTGCACCAGGTGTTTACCACACGAGTCACTTGCCGTCCAGGATGTTGCGTGGCCGCAGATGGTGCGTCCACGCATGACTGCGCCACCGTGGCAACAAGAGAAGGCCAAGAAATTCGGACAGATGTTTTTGGATTCGCGACCAGCGTGTCTGGGGGGAGGAGGACAAGAGCAGGAGGGAGGGGGCGAGGAGGAGGACAGACGCCCCCCCAGCGAATCCACGCCCGAAGCCGAATCAGAGCGGTGCATCCTGGAGCACGGAAGCAAATCGCATCTCCATCCGAGACTGCTGGCTCCTCAGGCACGGACTGCTGGCCGATATGAGGCGGAGGATGACGAGTGTCTTCCTCTGTGGGTTGTCGCGGCCCGGCGGCGGCCCACGAATGGACACTCTCGGCGCCTCCACTGCGCACTGACGGCCGCAGGTCCAGCCCCCGGCCCGCCGAAGTGAAGGGGGAAGACGAAGCGGCTGGACACGGCTCGAAATGCGAGGACATAGACGAAAGACGTTTGGCGTTTGGGGCCGTCTTCTGCCTCGAGATTCCCCTGAGGCTCCCAGAACCTCTGGGCAACTCCAGATACCCTCAAAGATCAGAAAAGCAGACGGGATCAGACCAAGGGAGAGGGAGGGGTGCGGAGGCAGAAATGGAAGCGCCTCCTGCCCACAACTTGCTCTGCCACTGGACGCGTTGCGGCTTTGACCCGCGTGAGCATCAGAATGCGACCATCCTGACCCGGGGCTCTAATCTTCCTGCGAGCGTATACATCACTCCAACCACCAAGCATGTGGGAGGGGCCCAACAACGACAACGAGATTGCCATCAATAAGATCAGTGCGCTTCGGACGCAGAGGGAGCCAGCCAGGCCAGCCTGGCACGATCTCGGAGACGCCGACGCCCTCACGCCCCGGGAAGGCCTGCAGCTTGAGACCTGACTCGCGCAGAGCGGGCGGCGGAGCGCGCGCGCGCGTCGGCGGAGGTGGGAGGCGGGGGAGGGGGAGCAGGAGGGGGAGAAGCAGGAGGAGCATGAGGGGAGGGGGAAGCATGAGGAGAGGGGGGGGAGGGGGAGAAGCAGGAGAGGGAGGATAAAAGGATGACGAGGGGGAGCATGAGGAGAGGGGGAAGCAGGAGGAGGAGGAGGAGGGGGCCGCTTTAGGAATGTGGCGAGGCGAATGCAAGCTCCATTGCCTGCACGATTCCAGGCAACGCACCTGCAAGATTTCAGGGCATGCGCGGTTGGCAAACACTGGTGGTTACGCACGACTGCTTAGTGGGTCCCGGAACGACTGGTTCACCTGGGCAAGAATGAAAATGTCGATCGTTGCGCGGCCTTGATATGTTGCTGTTTCGCCCGCAAGCTGCCATGGAACTTGAACCTGTCCAACACACCCGAAATCCAAAATGCACTGGTCGTCCGCTACTCTCGCAATACAGCAAACCGTTCGGACGACCCCCAAAGATCTTGACATTCGTCCCCGAACGAGACGCTTGCGGACAACGCCGGTATGCAATGCGCGTCGTCTCGCTAGCAAATCCACTTCAGCGGCATGATGGAATGCCTTCGCAAGCCGCCCAAGTGACTAATCCACTCCAAGATTGCCACCACACGGGTCGAATACGGGCCTTGCCTTCCGTGCGGGGGCCATGTGCGCGCGTGCCAATCGCAGTCATCGCACTGATCCCCCTAGTTCTGTCCGCCTTGGCCGCCCAAATCCACTTCTCGGCTTCGATGTCCGTCGCGCGGAGGACGCCACTCTTGGTTTCCGTCCTCGCTTCGGCTGGCCTGCAGTGGCAATACATGATCGCCCGCTGCAGCACTATGGCCACGCCGATCAGGACGAAGTCAAAAGCGCGGTGTAGGCCGCCGCGGCCGCAGTCGGTCCGCGGTCGCGGCCAGCTGCGGCGCTTCCCCCGTTACCTGCTACGAGCAGCTCAGCTGCGACGCTGACGCGCGCGCGCACACGGCATAACCAGCGCCGTCTGCAGCGACCTCGGGGCTTCAAAGACTTCAACGGCAGAGTGGTGGTCCACATGCGATGCAGATGCAGCACGGCACACCAAAACACGCGCAACACGACATGGCGACCTCGGCACGCCGCCCGCCACCCAGGTCATCCTCTCGCCTGCGCTTGCCGATGGGTTACCCTTGACGCCAAGCGGTCGCCTGCGGCGCCACCTGACCTAGCCCCGCCTCCAGGAATCATCGCCCCGCACCACTGACCTCTCTCGGTGTCTGCCGGGCCCGCTCGGTTGCGCATCTCCTCGCAGTCGTGGGCTGCCCTGCCCAGCCCAATCACTTGGGCGGGTGGTTGGTGACGGTGCTCCGCGGCGCTGGTGTTCGCGCGGGCGCGTCCTGGTGTTGTGCGAGATCGCGCACTGCGCGCCGTCACCGCTCCGAGCCAACGCGCGAGTGCGCCTGTCCTGCTCGCGCGCGCTCCCCGACTTCTTTTGAATAAGAGTCTACGTGGCCCCCGGAGCTGTTCGATTTGGGCCAGATTTGGACTAAAGGGACTGGCTCTTGCCCGAATTTGCCCCGTCACAAGGGAGATGAGACATACGAGGAGGGAAGAGAGGAACAGGAAGGGCGAGGAGGAGCAGGAGGAGCAGCCAAATGCAGTCCAAGTACAAGAAACACGGATTTCAATGTCGCCGCTCAAGGCTACCATGAACAGACATGCGACGCCGAACCTTCTTGCTCCTCTCGATCGCGGCCTCCAGGCCGTCATCTTCACTGACGCTTCTCAACTGGCACCGCGGTCGGTCGCCGCTCCTCGACGCGTACCCATCGCACTGCGCCAGCTCGGCCACGCACCGCTCCGCTTCCTGGCTACGCCCCTCACCGAGCGGGGATGGAGGCCGCGGCCTGGCCGAGGCGGGGTCGTCGCTTCCCGCCGTCGCTGCGAAGGCACTGCCCGCTGGATCGGCGAGCTGCCCCACCTCAGGGGCTCCTCTCCGCCGCGAGGTCGGCTACAGCTGGTCGTGGAAGGGCCGATCTCCTCGGGCCCGCTTCGGCTGCTGGCGGCCCCGAGGGTCTCGGCGGTCTCGCGGGCCCAATCTGTTTGCCGCACTTCAGGTGCCCGCCCACGCCGCGACTCTGCCTCATGGAAATTCCAAGCAGGATCTGAGGAGGAGGAGGAGGAGGAGGAGGAGAAGGAGGGACTTCCACCCCCACCCCAACCTCGCCGCCAAAGACCTCTAGATACAGCAACACTACTAGAACCCCTGACCGGTTAAGATTCTCCTGTCCTTCCCCCTGCTCCTAACTCCGCTCCTACTTCCCTCCTCGTCCTCTCCGTCCGCCTCATCCTCCCGCTCCTCCGTCCTCCCCATCCCCCTCCTAGGCCTCCTCCGTTCACGACCAGATAGCAGAGCTTCCATGCAGCTGGCCGGGGACCTGGGACCTGACATCCGAAGCGTCGTGGAAATAACAACGAGCAACGTCGCAAAACATCATGACCAATGCTCTCGACTCGACTCCATGTTCAGACTTGGTTGTTCCGGCACCTAGGATCCAACAGCCCTCCTCCCACCATGCGCCCGGGCACAACCTCAGAGAACGCGCGCAAGTTAGCCTTGCAGCAAGGTTCGGTCGTGACGCCTGTATGCACCTGCATATGCCCGCGAGCTTGACGCCTGATTGCGACCAACTCGCCATCGCTCAGACGTCCATTCCCCGTCCATATTTCAGCTTCGTGCGCGTATTTTCTCGCAAGATGGCCCGAGAGGCTCCTCATGGTCCTCGCCGAGAAAAACGAACACGTCCGAGCGATGCCAAGCCAACGAAAGGCGAGGAGAGGGGGGAGAGAGACCCTGCCAGAACCACAGCAGCAGCGCGAGCGCCCCAGTGCGCATGCGGAACAGCGCGCCAGAGTTTGCAACGACCCGCACTGCAGTAGCATGCGAGCGCCAAAGCGGTACCATAATTGTGTACCAGTACGGTAGGCCCCATGAGGGCCACAATGCCATGCGAGCGCAGTAATGTAGCAGCAAGCGCAGCAATTCCATGCGTCCCTCACCAGCCAGCGAGCACTACAACGCGCCTGTGAGCACCGCAACGCAGTGGCGACGACTAAATTGAGAGGGAAGCTTGACCCCGCCAATACCACCATAGCCAGCGAGCGCCGAGCGCCACAATGGTGCGCAACAACATGCAGCATGCCGAGGAAGGGGACGAGGACGAGGAAGGGAAGGTGTCAGAAGTTCGCAGGTATGGGTTATTGTCGTTCTGCCATCCTCCCTTTCTCTCTTTCCCCTTCGTCCGCCAGGTCCTCATCATCCTTCTCCTGCCCCCAAGAAGACGCCTGACGTGACGACAACTCGATCAGGGTGGCCCCAATAAGCAATAGTCATTCCCATACTCACGTTTCGGATGCCGCCGAGAGTGGAGTTGCGAGATGGCGCCGCATCGTCGGCGCATCGGGGGTGCACCGGCGACGTCGTGATGGACAAAAATATGGTTCCGAATCTAAAAGCTCCCCCATGCAATGGATACGCTAGGGCTCCCAACTTCGCGCTTCGCGCTCCGCGAAGCGCGAATAACTTCGCGCCCTCGCGCCGCCCCCCCAAAGGGAGAAAAGGAGGACGAGGAGGAGGAGGAGAAGGAACGAGGACCGCGAAGCGCGAAGCGCGAATAACTTCGCGCCCTCGTGGGAGCCCTTGGATACGGCGGCACGGTCCGCCGGCCCGCCATCCACGGACGGCAACTGGGCAGCCTGGGGGCATGCACTCTATGTTGTGCACCTCTATGCGGTGCAATATACGTGGTGCAATCTACGTGGTGCAACTCACCCTGCCGAGCTTGACGTTGTCAACTCCACTGCTCGCGCAACTGCCAGCCAGTTTCGCGCGACCGACACAGCCGCGGTGGCGCTGACCGCTGAGCACTTCTGAGCGGGCACTTTAGTGCGAGTCGGCGACTTGGGCGTGCGCGGAATCACGGCAACGTCGACAAAAGTAGTCGCGATGATGATCGTGGTGATGCTGGTGGCGATGGTGAACACGAGGACGGCACGGTCAGTGACGGCGCCGATGCTGCTCACGCCGACGACGATGACAGCGACCTCGCGTCGGTGACGAAAGTTTTGGAAGGAATTCGACATGCGCGCGGACGACGCCCGTGAGTGGCCCGCATGGAACGATTTGAAACGGATCGTGGCTCCCCTCCCCCAGCACGCGCGCAAAAATGTTCGAATCAACAAATAGGCAAACATACGCCGAATGACTTAGCCATTCAGGCAATATAAAACAGGTCGAGCACCACCAGGGAGGCCCCGTCAGGTTTTCCCACCCTGCCCCCGCGGCCCGACTAAACGGGAGCTCGCGGTATGTGGGATCGGGGGATGCAGCCGCCTGCTGGGAGATGCAACCGCCGTCTTCGAGTCCAGCCGCAGGCCTTGCGGAGTTTGGGACGTCGATGCGTGCTGCTCGATTGCAGCGATGCGCCGTCCGTATATATTTGCCAGCAAGGCGGCTGCCACACCTCAGGTGGGCGCGTCGCAGAGCTGGACAAGAAATGCGAGCCGCTGGCACCGCTGCAGATTAGCGCGAACTGGCGTCAGCTCAACAAAGGATCCCATCCGCGCAGGATCGGGGTCACGGTTGATGTGGCCACTTTGTTGCCGATCGGCGCCATCTTGCCAGCGGCCGCTGCCCCTGCTGCGGATTCGCCTGCCGCTCGGGAGGGGCGGGGGTTGGAGCTGGGGCTTGGCGGGGGGATGGACGCGCCTTGCACGATTTCTGGAGCGCTGCAGCCCGCGGCTACGGATCCTCGGGCGGCGAGCTTCGAGTCGGAAGAGGACGCCTCTGCCTTTCTGTTTGGCCAAGCTTCGGATTCCACTGGTGCGCAGGTGGGCTCTGGATTGGTGGCACCTGCTGCCGCCGCCGTAGGGTGAGTCTGCTCATCCTGAGGGTTGCGAGCAGGGCCTTCCTGGC